AGAGAGGTGTACAAGCAAGGCAAGTCTGAAATTCTTTTCTGCATACAATTTTTCAGGTCAGGGTATTGAAGTAATTAAGTCAGCATGACAGCCAGACAACTTGCGTTTTTTGTGAAGTCATCAGTAATTGCCTTTTTTTTCCTTTAACACCTCTGCAGGTTTCTTTAAGCATTTTCGGTTGAAATTATTGTTGGGTCACACCGTTTTCCTACCGTGCTATTTCTTCCTTGCAGGTTTGATGCATTTTACGGGGACAATGCTACTCAGCGGGAGATCTACACCGGTTCTGTGTACCCGATTCTTCAAAACTTGCTTATTGGACAAAACGCCAGTGTGTTTGCCTATGGACCCACAGGAGCAGGTTTGTATCGCCAGCACAGGACGTAAATGATTTTATTACTGTCCTTTACAGAATATAAAATGAAAATTTCCTGTTCTGTAGGGAAGACGCACACAATGCTGGGGAACCCAAATCAGCCAGGTGTCATCCCTCGGGCTGTTAGAGATCTGTTACAGATGACACGGGCAGCTACTGAAGAGAACTGGACTTACTCGATCAGCATGTCATATGTGGAGATTTACCAGGAAAAGGTAAGTCACCCATTCCTGCAATGATCAGAGTCTGATTGGTTAAAGTGTTAGTCTGTTTACTTGTACCTTCAGGTAAGCCTATAATAAAACTTACCTGTAGGTACTGAAATATCTCCTAAACGTGCATTGTTTAGGAGATATTTACTTGTGCAGTACCAGGCGCATGTGCTCTGAAGGAACGGCATACCAGCTCTGTGTGCCGTAAACGTGACTCCCATGCACATGCGTGGAAGTGACATCGCGATTCGGCCACTCAAGACACCAGTGCCCACAAACCCGGAAGAAGGCCTAGGTGAAGATAGAAGCCTTGTCAGCGGCGACGTCATGCTGCTGGAGGGCTTCGTTTTACGGCAAGTTTCATATAATGTCCCCACTCCAGTCGAAACTGAACTCAGCGGCTAGACTCATCCACCTCACCAACCGCTCCACATCTGCCTCCCCCCTCTGCCAATCCCTTCACTGGCTCCCGATTGCCTAACGCATCAAATTCAAACTGCTAACTGACCTACAAAGCCATTCACAACGCTGCCCCAAACTACATGACCGACCTGATACCCAAATACTACCCTACCTGTGCCCTCTGCTCCTCACAGGACCTCCTACTCTCTAGCTCCCTGGTCTCTTCCTCCCACGCCCGATTGCAGGAGTTCTCTAGGACTTCCCTCATCCTCTGGAACTCCCTACCCCAATCTGTCAGACTGTCACCTACCCTCCTCACCTTCAGGCGCACCCTGAAAACCCACATCTTCAGGGAAGCCTAACCCAACCTCACCTAACGCCTGACCTCCCCTAACAACTAACCTCCACTCCTCCCACCACTCCATCCCCCACAGCCATTTCCTCCTGTACCACCATCCCCTCCCTCCTAGATTGTAAGCTCGAAAGAGCAGGGCCCTCGAACCCCTTGTGTATTGTATTGTTACTGTCTTGTCTCATGTTCTGTCCCCCTTGCTACTGTACAGCGCTGAGCATACCCTTTGGCGCTATATACTGTATAATAATAATAATAATAATGTGCTGGTATACAATGCATGCTAGCACATATGACATTGCCTTGTAGGGGAAAAGTTGTTGTGTTTTTTTTTTTTTTTTTTGTGTTTTTTCATTAAGTTTACTACCACTCTAAAGTTTGCATACACCAAAAACACACCCACATTTTGATATTGCAAGTTAAAGTGCAACTCCAAGAATTTTAAACTGGACCATAACAAGGATGCAAAAATTTAATTTCAATCATAACTTTCCTGGTCTACATACTTGTTTGGATCAGTGGTTCTGAAACTAGAGAGGACTGTTTTTTTTTTAGAAGCTCAGAAATGGCCAAGAACAGGAGGCGTGGGTTCGTATCCCACTTCTGACACCAGTTGATGGGAATTGGCCTATGTCTGTAGCCCCTTGTCCTCGTTATTTTCACCACCAGACCTGGGAGAAATAAAGCTCCAAACACCGAAGTGTGCAAGCTAAGTCTCTGGAAGTTTAATGCAAAACAAGAACTGTTATATAGAATTCAGTGGGTGTTGCTTAATCTTAGGATGACCAGTGAAACATTCCACTCTTATCAATATAGTTGCGTGAAGAACAAACTGCAAATGGTTGAGGGATACCATATAAAGTAGTTCTGTTTACAGTGAAATAGAAAGTATTCTCAGAAACGAGAGAGGAGTTACAAAAACGAAACAAACTGTTCACACATCTAGAAATGATGGCATTATACAAAATGGATGCCAGTTAATAAGACATATATTTCCTTACACCTACCATAATTTTAATTTTTTTTTTTTTTTTTTTTTTTTTTTTTTTTTTTTTTTGAGAGACTTTCATTAATCATTGGTGTTCCTTGGCCAGGTGATGGATCTTTTGGAGCCCAAGAACAAAGATCTTCCTATCCGAGAAGATAAGGATCATAACATCCTGATTCCTGGCGTGACACAGAAAACACTTAACAATTTCTCAGACTTTGACGAGCATTTCATCCCAGCTAGCCAGAACCGCACAGTGGCCAGTACAAAAATAAACGACCGGTCCAGCCGCAGCCATGCTGTCCTTCTCATCAAGGTAAAAATGACTAAATAGAAACTGGGCACTGTGAGTTGCCTTGGTGTGCGGTTTTCAGTAATACTGGTCAGTGCCACTCCTATAATGTGTATAATCAGTGTGTGTATACTGTAACGTCCGGCTTTATTTACACATTTGCTACATAGCTTTGCTCAGGCTCCAAACATTGATTTGTGGGATAGGTGTGAATTGTTTTCCCTGTTCTACACTAAGGTACGGGTGCACAGCAAGTTGTGGGCTCTACTACAGTGACCATTGTAATACAAGATTTTCTGGAAGTGCTATCAGGTATTCGCCAAGATTTTAGAGGTCGACCTATCTTATTTATTTTTTTTTAAAGAGCTGAGTTCCAAGCAAATTTATGACCTAAACCAGCTCTGTAATGATGCACAATGTATTTTAACCACGTCTCGTCCGGGCCCATGTACATAGACGGCCAGACGGGAGCAGTGCAGGAGCGGGTTACCGTTCATAAACGACACCCGCATTTACAGCCTGTGCGCGCTCCCTGGGAGCGCGCGGTACTGCGATCCAGTGCCCGCTGAACACGGCGAAACATTGATCGCTGTACAGGACCTCTGTGGTCCCGAATCATATGATCAGTGATCACATGAATAGTAGTAAGCAAGATGTCACTTCCTGATGACATTGCTTACTACTAGTGAAATCTGTGAATGATCCCAAAGATCACATGGTACAGGGCTGGTTAAACAATTTTTTTTTTTTTCTAAAAAGATAACTAAATTAATTTTGGCCAAGATTTTGCAAATCTTTCTTCATAAATTTCATGAGAACTTTTTTTTCATTTTTATATAGCAAAAAATAAAAATCCCAGTGGTGCCACCAAAATAAAGTTGTTTTTGTTTTTTTTTTTATCTGTCTCAAAAAAAGCTAAAAAAAATCATATGGCCACAGTGTTGCATGACCGCGCAATTGTCATTCAAAGTGTGACAGCGCTGAAAGCTGAAAATTGGCCTGGGCAGGATGGGGGGGGGAAGTGTCCGGACTGGAACTGGGGGGGGGGGGGGAAGTGTCCGGACTGGAGGAGGGGGGGGGAAGTGTCCGGACTGGAGGGGGGGGAAAGTGTCCGGACTGGAGGGGGGGGAAAGTGTCCGGACTGGAAGGGGGGGGGAAAGTGTCCGGACTGGAAGGGGGGGGAAAGTGTCCGGAGGGGGGGGGGACTGGAAGGGGGGGAAAGTGTCCGGACTGGAAGGGGGGGGAAAGTGTCCGGACTGGAAGGGGGGGGAAAGTGTCCGGACTGGAAGGGGGGGGGAAAAGTGTCCGGACTGGAAGGGGGGGGGAAAGTGTCCGGACTGGAAGGGGGGGGAAAGTGTCCGGACTGGAAGGGGGGGGGAAAGTGTCCGGACTGGAGGAAGGGGGGGGGAAAGTGTCCGGACTGGAAGGGGGGGGGGGGGAAAGTGTCCGGACTGGAAGGGGGGGGGGGGAAAGTGTCCGGACTGGAAGGGGGGGGGGGGGGAAAGTGTCCGGACTGGAAGGGGGGGGGGGGGAAAGTGTCCGGACTGGAAGGGGGGGGGGGGGGGAAAGTGTCCGGACTGGAAGGGGGGGGGGGGAAAGTGTCCGGACTGGAAGGGGGGGGGGGGGGGAAAGTGTCCGGACTGGAAGGGGGGGGGGGGAAAGTGTCCGGACTGGAAGGGGGGGGGGGGGGGAAAGTGTCCGGACTGGAAGGGGGGGGGGGGAAAGTGTCCGGACTGGAAGGGGGGGGGGGGGAAAGTGTCCGGACTGGAAGGGGGGGGGGGAAAGTGTCCGGACTGGAAGGGGGGGGGGGGGGGAAAGTGTCCGGACTGGAAGGGGGGGGGGAAGTGTCCGGGGGGGGGGAAAGTGTCCGGACTGGAGGGGGGGGGGGGGAAAGTGTCCGGACTGGAAGGGGGGGGGGGGGGAAAGTGTCCGGACTGGAAGGGGGGGGGGGGGGAAAGTGTCCGGACTGGAAGGGGGGGGGGGGGGAAAGTGTCCGGACTGGAAGGGGGGGGGGGGGGGAAAGTGTCCGGACTGGAAGGGGGGGGGGGGGGAAAGTGTCCGGACTGGGGGGGGGAAAGGGGGGGGGGGGGGGGAAAGTGTCCGGACTGGAAGGGGGGGGGGGGGGGAAAGTGTCCGGACTGGAAGGGGGGGGGGGGGGAAAGTGTCCGGACTGGAAGGGGGGGGGGGGGAAAGTGTCCGGACTGGAAGGGGGGGGGGGGGGGGGAAAGTGTCCGGACTGGAAGTGGTTAAGTGCAAGTAGTGCAGGAACCTGACCTAGTATCAGCCTTTTACAGTCACTGTACAGCAGAGCTGAAACTAGTAGAGGGAGAAGCAGCACAAGGAACTAATCAGCTGTGCTCTAGTGCAAAGTGCATGCAACTAGAGAGTACTGTGACAGTCTGCTACTTCTCTGTTCTATGTCTAGCTGCAAGCTAGAGGAAGGCCAATATCTTTGGCAGTTGTAAAATCAATCTCATATATTTCATCTGTTTAGCTGTTACAGGTCCTAACCAGGGGCGGACTGACCACTCATGGGGCCCCGGGCAATAGGGGATCATGGGGCCCCTGTGTCCTTGCCCAAACTCAAAAAAGCCTATGAAAAAGGTACCAGGGGCATCTCATGGGGCCCCCTACTGACCCCGGAACTTCAGGCAGGGCCCGAGTTTCCAAATGGTCAGTCCGCCCCTGGTCCTAACCCTGTAATTAAATCTGTGCATACTCCTCCTTGCCGGTTGTGGTGACAACAAGCTGACTTGCATGCTGGTCTCCAGCTAGTTTTGTTGTCACCCCTGTAGTCGAAATTATAAGGATCACAGACATGAGGCTCTCATTGTGATCCCAGGGACTATTCTGCACTAATAATTATTTGGTGTGAGTTGCAATTCACTATAACCTCTATGCAATGAGTTTTGTCTCTCTGGATGACATCATGAGCACATTTAGGTCTCAAATACACTGCATAGATGGCCTTCCTGGGCGTGAATTTAAGTGGCAATTATGAGCGCTCCGATTTTGTGGTGTTTGTTAAATGTGTGATGTATTGTGCGGTGACCGTCCTGTGTACAGGGCAGACGCCAGCAGGGGTGCGGCAGAGTTCTACTCATGACAGGTTGGGTTTTTGGCCGCAGTAAAGTCTTTGATTTGTTACAGAAACACTGAAATCCACTTGCAGTCACATTCAATCTCCATTCCTGCCCCAAAGGAGTATTTTTTTATTGATACACTCTGGGTGGCAAAAACTGAACACCCCGAACCAGCACGAAACTGCACCTTACATGGCCAAAATTACGTGGGGAAAGAATGATTGCGTTCTGGTGTTTGCCGTGGGGGGTATGGTTTAATGCTACGGCATATAGGCACCAGGAGTGCCTCAAATTCTGGCCCCCAGAGTCCCCTGGCCTTCTGTAAATTTATGCCTTCCCTTAACAGTTAGGTCTTCTTCATCGCCCCTGTCTTATGTTTCTCAGTGGGAGCGAGATCTGGGGTCAGTGGGGGCGGACTGACCATTTGGGGGGAAACTCGGGCACCTGCCCTGAGGGCCCCGTGCCCAGGATGGGACAGGGTCACTAGGTGGCGCCCCATGACATGCCCCTGGTACCTTTTCATAGGCTTTTTTTGAGTTGGGCAAGGACACAGGGGCCCCATGAGTTCTATGTCCACCCCTGATCTGGGTGTTTCGATTGCGGCGGAGGATTGGCGTAAGGCCTGGGATACGGTTTTGGTGGCGAAATGTTCATTTAATACAGTCACTCTTGAGGCAGCCTACAAAGTTCTACTTCGGTGGTACTGGGGAGGGTCCCGGCCTCTGGGACTGACGGAGATAGGGGGGTTTCCGGAACAGGTGGTCTGCGTGGGGACATCTTGTTAAACATTTTGGTGGTCGTGCCCACAATTGGTAGGCTTCTGGTCTAGGGTTTTCGATTTGCTTCAAAAATTCTTTTCTTCTTTTTGTTCTTTTCTTTTTTTTTTGTTTTTTTATTTTTTTTTTTTATTTTTTTTTTCTCTATTCAATATTACAGGTCATTTTCCCGTAGGGATGCAAGGGTGGGCCCTCCTGCATTGCCCAATTTTGGGTTTTTTGTCTAGGTCTCAACAGAAATTGGCATCCTACCCTATTCGGCTAAAACATTCTATGCTCAAGCTTGGGCGAACCCCTTCGGTAGCCTTCCAAGGGGTGAGGACTCGGATGAATGCTATGTTGTTCAATGAGCAGATGTCTAGCATTCTTTCATGATTCATCATCCGAGATTACTTAAGGTTTGGGAACATTGGATACGCTATTCCTTACCATCCCTGCCCTCCTACTAGTTATCGGCCTCCCTATAGATCGCTGCCGGTGCTAGCCCCAGATCCGTGATCCTTTTAGTTTCCCTGTATTTAATTTTATTTCTTTCCGATTCCCTTTTTGTTTTTCTATTTTTTTTTCTTTTCCCTTTTTTTGCAATCCAATGTTTGGATTATTGCTGCTCTTTTGGCTCGGCTCGGCTGTTTGCTGTTTGCTGTCCCCTTTTGATGTCTTCTGACTTTTTATTTTGACTGTTACAAGGCAGCAGGATGTTCCTGTCTATATGTTCTGCTCTGCCCCCTGCGTGGGCGTATTTTTGAGCTTGATATGTTCTTAAAAATCAAACCTTTCCTAATAAAAAAAAAATATTGAAAACAGAAATATGGCCTGTGAGAGCCACCTCTGGTGTGGCCCCTGACCTTTTAACTGAACATGGGAGATTTGGTGTGCCTTCAGGAGGGGAAGAAGGGGAGAGGAGGGGAGGGAAGGGGGGAAAGCACAAGACATGAGGTCTAGGGCAAAGCGCAGCTAACCTGCAGGAAAGCCGCCGGTGCACTTGCAGTGCAGGTGAAGTGCAGCACATCAGTGTGATGTGGAAAAGCATCCTTTTTTATAGGGGGATCAGGTTATATAGTAAGGGCTCATTTTTTTCCTTTTTGGGGGGGGGGGGGGAACCCATGGTTGTGTGTTTTTTACCACATACCCCCTAACCAATGGTATAACATCAGGGGTATTGCAAAGGTGACCACATTCCCATACTCCAGGGGGCCCATGCCAACATTCTGTTTTTTTAAACTTGAACAGGAGGGGTGGATTTTCAGGAACAGTTTTCTCCTCCAATCCCTACTGCTGATGCTGAATGCAGTTGTGAGTTCCATTGTTTTAAAATTTCAATGGGGGAAAACTGTGACTTGTTACCAAATCTTTTAAGTGGCCTTCATGTTCAATGGGTTTTGAGCACCCCGTTTTTAGACAATTGGGTTCTTTCCAACCTCGTGGCAAGCTTGGGGAAGACCCTTTTTTCTTCTTTTCCAGCATGACTGCCCCTGCAAGGCCACAGGCTTCATTAAGACCTGTATTGAGGTCATGGAGGAAACTGAGAACTGAAAGGTCCTACCCGGAGGGCCCGGGACTCGGTTCCACTCGCCAGAGCAGTCCCCCCGCCCTGACCCGGAGGACGCAGTAAACCGTGGGCCCTCGGCCCCTCGTTTCCCTGCCTGAGGGCCGGAGGGCCTCCCTGGCGGCCTCGGCCCCCGTATCCCTGCCCGGAGAGTTGGGCCTCGGCCTCGGCCCCCGTCCCTGCCCGGAGGGCCCTGGCCTCGGCCCCCGTTCCCTGCCCCGGAGGGCCCTGGCCTCGGCCCCCCGTCGTCCCTGCCCGGAGGGCCCTGGCCTCGGCCCCCGACCCTGGCCCTCGGGCCCAGTCCCTCGGTGGGGGTCCCCGTCCCTGCCCTGCCTGAGGGGGAGACCTGACCTGTGGATGGTCCGTCTGGGGGTTGTCCAGACTTTTGCATGATATCAGGTTGTGGCCTGAAAAGCCTTTTCAAGGGGACCTATAAGGAGTTGAAATTATGAAGAACGTCAAAAGTAAGGTTGCTGGGGGGAAGCCCCTAAAGCTCCAGCCACTCTATTGACCGGGGTAACAGCCTCTTGAATGATCTTGTTGTCCATGATTTGTCAGCTGCAATGTTGCTGAGAGAAGCCACTACCCCTCTCCTGGAGTGTTGCTCCCTCGCTGGTTACACCAATGAGATGTCGGTCCTTTAGTCGGTAGGTACGAGTGTGTCACTCTGCCACTCTCCATAGCCATGGAGGGTCTGGTGTATTGGAGAATGAGCTGCACCTCAGCAATTTTGCTGCTGGGGGGATTGTGTTTTGCCAATATCAATGTGAACCTTCATCTACCACTGTCAGTGTCTTGAAGACGTTGTTGCCACCTGTCGGCATCAGACACACAGGGCATTTAAATAAAACTTCTCATCCGGAGTTTGGTGTGTACATGGAGGGGGGTTTGATCCCAGCACTGTTTGCAATGACAGAAGAAGCTAGCAGCCTATCCCCGTATGCCGATCTGCAGAATTTTGTATATTTATTTCTCTGAACCCCCTCAGGCTTGCTCAGAAGGTGACCCAGCAGGGTTCTCTCTTTTTTTCCATGTGCCCCTCCCGCGCCATTTCAGGTCAGCTAACTGGGAGTGATCGTGGGGGATACGTTGTTACCTGATTAGACCTGGCGGGATCAGAAGTATAACCGATCAGCACGGGGTTGGAACCGAAGGAAACCTAGGCTAGTTACGCTCCTTAAAGGAGAGGCGTAGGGGGCCTTCAATCCTCCGCGAGGCTCTTAGTTCAGCTGCATGGTGGTTTAGATGCGTTTTTATTTCAGGGGTTACCCTGTAATCCCATTCAGGGTACTGCTAGAGTTACTAGGCGAGCTTGATATCGGGGGGTTGGTATGGGGGTCGGGTGGTGACGGTTGATGGGGAGGGGTTTGGTGTTGTATGTCGAGGGAGGGGGGGGGGGGGGTAGAGAGAGAAAACAAAAGAGGGGAGGGGGCGGACAAGTAGGGAGGGAGAGAGAAAAAAACGGGGGGGGTGGGGGGGGCTGAGGGGGGTGGGGGGGGGATAGAGAGAAAAAAAGGGGAGGGGGGGGGTCGAGGGGAGAGAGAAAAAAAAGGGACGGAGAAGAAAATACAAGGGAGAGCGCAAAAAAAAGGGAGAGAGAAAAACAGAATGAAAAAAAAAAGGGACGGAGAAAAATCGGTGTAGAGAAAAAAACAAAGGGAGAGACAACCAAGAAAAAAAAAGGGAGAGAGAAGAAAAAAAAAAAGGGGAGGGAGAAGAGACAAAAAAGGGGGGGGAGGGCGAAAAAAAAAAAAAACAAAGGGAGAACAAAAAAAAAAGGGAGGGAGACGAGAGAAAAAAAAGGGAGGGGGAGAGGAGAGCGAAAAAAAACATGGGTCAGAGGGGGGGTTAGGGCGATGCAACAAAAAAATAGGGAGGGAAAGAAGGAAAACAGCCGGGGGGGGAGAGAAAAAAAAAACAGGGGGGATGGGGGAGCGAGAACTGACAAAAAAAAAGGGGAGGGGGAGCTCGAACACACAACAAAAAAAGGGAGGGGGAGAAGAGACCTCCAAGGGCGCTAAAAACCCGGGGGGGGAAGCCGAGGGGAGACGACAAAAAAAAAAGGGAGGGGAGAGACCCCCTCACCCCCCTTTTTCTTTCTCGAGCTCTCTCCCCATGCCCCCTTTGCTTTGATCGAGAAAAAAACCCCCGCTGAGTCATTCTCTACTCCCCCCCGCCCCTCCCTTCT